CTCCAGAAAAGTTGTGCCAAATGTATTACCACAAAAAAAACTGAGTGTCAATTTTTCTACACCCTGCCAATATCATTTTTTATTAATCTTAAAAATGTTTAGCAAATGTGATAAGTAAAAAAGACTCACTGTTGCTTTAATTTCTAATTCTTTGGTTACCACTCAGGATGAACACTGTATATAATTTGGACATTTGTATTTTTTCTCTTGTGAATTCCCTGCTTGTGCTTTTCACTATTTTTCTGATAGTTTTTTGGTTTTTTTTGCGGGGGGGGGGCTATTATAAAGGAATTGGTGTGTGTGTGTGTGTGTGTATGCATTTAGGTACTTACCCCTTTATATAGTCTGTAAATATTTATTCCAATTGGAAATCATTTACTTTTTTTTTAATGCAAAATTTTAAACGTTTAAGGGTTAGCTATCTCAATCTTCTTCACTTTTGTTTTTGATTTCATATCAAAGGGACATTACTACCTCAAGGTTTTAAAATATTTTAAGTTATGCCTAATTTTAAGTGGTTGATTAAAAATTAATATAACTATTTAATTAGTATATTAATTTATTAATATTTAATATTTAATTCTTAATAGAATCCTGGCTCTGCCACTTACTAGCTGTTTGGTCTGGCCAAGTCATTAACTTTTCTGTGCCTTATTTTCCTCATCTGTAAAATGGCTTTAGTAGTAATGCCAATATCAGAGGATTGCTAGGAAGAGTAAATGAGTTAATATGTATATAGCACTTAGAACAGTGCTCAGCCTCTGGTAAGCACCAAACAAGTGTATTACTACTGTTGCTATTAATTCATTTTCTAAATGGCTAACTAGTTCTTCCAGCACCATTTATTGAATAATCCATCCTTTTCTCATTTTACTTGAAAGGTTTCCCTCATTATATAAAATTTCTCTGTATGCTTGGATCTGTTCTTGTAGTCTTTTCCATTGGTGAGTCTTCTTTAATGCTAGTGCCAAACTGTTTTAATTATGTAATGTACTTAATATCTGATAGAAAAGGTCCACTCTCCATATCTTTTTCATAATTTTCCTTCCCCCCCTACATTAATTCTTATAGATTGAGAATCTGCCAAATTCCTACCCACCCTCTGGAAATCTAGTTGGACAGTTTATTGAAATTAAGTTAAAATGATAGACTAAATTGGACTAAATGACCATATTTTCAATATGAGTTTTCTCATCTAAAGTACACATTATACTGTTTATAGCAAGTCTTAATTTATATTTCTCAGATGATTTTTATTTTCTTCACATAGATACAGCACATTTAAAAAATTCGTTCCTCTCGCTCAAGGGTTTGAGCTCTGAGCAACAGCGGTTCGAGTCCAGCCCGAGCTGAGTTGCCGCTGAGCTGCCAACAGGTGGCAGGATGGCTCAGCTTAAAAAAAAAAACTTGCCTCTATGTGTTTGTTTTTTCCATCTCGGTATAGGGATTTTGCCCCCTCTCCCCTATTTTTACTTCAGAATTGCGCAGAGGAGATCTCATGTTTGCTGTTTTTTTGTTTCGCTGCACGTTTCACATTCTTTTTATGTCTCAAAGAGCGTACATGAGATTCCTGAAATCTTTCGTGCTTTCCACAAAACTAAAAATATTTCCTCCCCCAAAATTAAACCTTGAAATTTTTTTTAGTGTTGAGGAAAGAGTAAAGAAATAAGACGGGAGTCGCTATAGGCAAGCTACTAAGTTTCTAAAATCAAGTAGGCTGAGGCATAAGGAAACGATTCTATTCTTGCTTTAATGAGCCTGGCAACTTAAACTTTTGAACTTCACAGTCCTGCATCAATGCCTGGATAATACATCAAACCTCCAGATAACCCTCTGATTATCTCCTGAAGGACTCACATATCCAGGCTGCCTTATATCCATTATTCAAACCACCAGATGTGGCACCTATCTTCTGGACCATCTGGCATCCATTATCCAGACCCCTGACATCTGACTGATAACCGTCCTGGACCAATCCTAGGGCTAAGAATGCAGAACTGATTATTTTCAAGAATGCACTTTTTATTATACTATAAGAACTCTTAACTTCTCTTTCTTCTTTGGGACACTTCTGGGGTTTTGCCTAGTTGTGTTTCTGTTTGCAAACCCTAAGACCCTTGAATCAATACCATTTATTTCTAGCAAAGTCTCTTAAGACTCTTTTGAGTTCTTCCGACAGTGTTAATAACATAGTGACATTAAACATCCTTTTCTAATTTCACTTTGCTGAAACAGCGTTTAGTGTTTCACTGTTAACTATGATGCCTCTGAGATTGCCTTCCTCCTTCTCCTCAGGTCATGTTAAGTTTCTTTTATTTTTATATTAAGAGTTTTCTTTCAAAGTTAGGACTGGATCATGAAATTCTATTAACGCTTTTTTTTTTTCCAGAACCTATCGATGACCGTTTTTCTTCCCTGATTTCAGACATCTATGGTAACGGGTTTATTAATGTCGAGTCATTTTTGCAGTCATAGGGAAAACACGATGTTATTATTTTTTTTGAGGAAGGAATATAGAATTTAACTTTTTAGAAGAGAAGCAAAGCTTTAATAACAACCCCTCTCCCTACACCAACCGTTAAGAAAACATACTGAATAGTCCATCCTTAACGGTAAAGGTGTGGCAATGACTTCTGCTGGACCAATCCAGTACAGGCGTACCTCCTTTTAGAACCCTTCGCTTCATTGATCTTCACAGGTGTTTCGTTCTTTTACAAATTGATGGCAAGACTCTCCACCAGCAAAGAGACTACGACTTGCTTTACTGCAATACTTGCTTTATCACCATGGTCTGGAACAGACACTGCAATATCTCCAGGTATGCCTGTAGTCACAGGACTTGACTATCTACCATCAGGAAGGGCATCAATTCTTCTCTTACTGCAAACAGTCTCAGGAAGTGGAGAGCAGGGGAAATCTTCAAGGGGGGATTTAAAAGGATTTTTGAAGGGATTAAGGGTAGCTATCTCCCAACGACCTTCAATCCGGAGGCGTTTTCAGGAATTCCACCCCTGACGTCCCTCCCCTTCTCCTTGTGCTCCTTTAACTCCCTCTATCCTCTCCATCGCCTCCCAAGCCCTCTGTTGCCTCCTCTGTTACCTGTCCACGCAGTCTCGAGGCCTGGGCAAAACTGTGTAGCCGAAGTGCGGCTGCCAAGGAAGCAGGGGCGCAGAGAAGGTGCAGGTGCTCGCGGCTGGCAGGTTCAGTCTCAGGAGAAGCGCGCTCCGCCCTCCACGTGGCCTCAAGGCCCTATCCCATCCACCAGTGAGCCCCCCCCCCACCCCCGCACTTCCTAGCTAGGCCCTGCCCGCTGGGCAAAGGGGCCTTAGCCCTCCGCAGGAGCCATAGTGGTTCAACCGGCTTGATTCGTGTCTGGCTGCGCGCTGTGGGTGAGCGGGTCTGTTGCCTCTCACCGCGTGCTTTGGGGCTCTGCAATCAGACCCCCAAGGTGGGGACAGTGTCATCTTCCGGGTCTCCAGTCTGCAAGAGTGGCCCCTGCGTTAAGGCTCCTTCGTGCAGCGGATACTGAGGCTGCAATTTAGGTGCTGACCTGGCTGGAGGGTGCAGGCGGATGCTGCAGGCAATGTCTCTGCACTTCCTTCCTGCTTCTAGTTCCTGGCCCGCACCTCCAGCCCAGGTCAGCACCTGGGGATACAGCACTCTTCATTTCACAGCTGATGTCTTATTTGTAAAGAGAGGTTGTTGGGTGTCTAATTTTTACACGTGTAATCCAGTGGACACATTTTCCCTTTTTCACTTTGACCACCATCATTCAAAGGTCTGTCTCGGGTTCTAAAATGCAGCAAGGAAGGCTGGCCAAGTGGCTCAGTTGGTTAAGAGCTTGCTCAAGAGTGCGAGCTCTGAGCAACAGCGGTTGGAGTCCCGGCCGGAGCTGAGCTGCCAACAGGCGGCAGGATGGCTCAGCTGAGCAAAAAAAAAAAAAAAATGCAGCCAGGAGTGTTGGTGTACAAATGTGTGAGTCCTGGACCCATCTGAAATTACGTGTTTGATGGTCAGCATGTTACTTGATATCTCTGAACCTGTTTCCTTACCTGAAAATGGGGACAATGAAAGTAGGGTTGTTGTAAAGAATAAATAAGATAATCCTATGAAAAACATTAAGTACTCAATGGGGGAAGGAAGGGTTTTCTATGATTTTTGACTCAATGGCAAGCTCCAAAAGTTAAGGAATCATGGTTTCTCATCTTGTAGGCTTCTTCACTTGGTGGTGTGGGCTCCATTGCACAGCGAGAGATGAAAGTCGCAATGCACAAGCCATCACCAAACCTCTGCCTGTGTCACATTTACTAATGTCCCATGGGTCAAAGCAAGTCACAAGGCTAAGACCACTTTCAAGGGGTAGACTTTCATCTCTTGATGGGAGAAGCTAAAAAGTCACATTGTCAAGAGGAATTTGTGGCCATTTTTGCAATCTACAAGAGCTTTGAACCAGCATACAGTAGGTAATCAAGAATGCTTGTTGTACAACTTAAGAGGTAAATAATGCCAAATATTGTCATTGTCCATCACCTCTCCCCCTGCTATTGGCACATCTATTTCCATGCCTCCTATCCATTATTGGGATCTTTGAACTAAGCCAAAATTTTATACAGTGGTTCAGAAAGTTTATTGCTCTTGACTTAAATATGATGGCTCTTCTCTGAGAGTTGTGGCTCACAGGACCTCTTGGTCCTATCCATCTTGATGCTGGAGCTGTGTGCACTTTGCTGGCTTATAGATTATGTCCCCACTCCTGCTCTTTGCTCTTTGACAGATCCAGAAAAGGGGAAATCCTTTGTCTATCAAATCAGGGTCAGCCTTAGCTGGCCACACCTTCTGCCAGTTGCTGCCACTTGGGTGTTCCCTGGTGGCTTCTTCTTGCATAGCTCCACTCAAGGTGTAAAATTCACCATGCGAGTTGCCAAAAAGTTGGATGGAATAGAGAACCTTCCATGGGAGAGCTCTCAATGTAGTGGAAAGCTAGACATGGAAAGAAAAAGTAATAAACAACAACAAAAAATTTAATTACCATCTAGACCTTGTAGCCAGTGAGTCTGCTTGTTTTACCATGACTTGGCCCAGAGAACAGGTAAGACAGTAAAAGAAAGAATGCATATATACAAGAGTTACATATCATTAAAAGTCAGGTGCTGGTGGATGAGGAGCACTGCCATTCTCACTGAACAAAAATGGTGGAGTTGGAAAAGGTGGCAGGGTGTGCTGGCTGGATCAGCTCATCCAGGGCCTGGTAGGTTCCCACCACAAAGCCCACGAAGCCCAGGATGCTGATCAGGGCGTCCTTGGCGATGGTGAGGGGGCTCATGCCTTCTGAGTAGTAGGTGGTGATCTCCAGGAGGGGCGGGATGATGAGAGCCAGGGCACTGCTGCTTATGGAGCCCACCAGGGAGAGGACCAGGTCCAGGCGGGGGACGAGGATGGCCAAGATGCCTGTGGGAGATGACATGGGATAGATCAGGGGTCAGCAAACTGCAGCTTGCGGGCCACATGCGGCCTTTGGGTACGTACATGTGGCTCTGAAGTAAAACTGAAAATGGAAATAAAACTATCATAGTTTCACTTATAAAATTTTTAAAAGGTATTATTCAGGGCTGCCCGAGTGGCTCAGCTGGTTAAGAGCTCGCTTGGGAGCACCAGCTCTGAGCAGCAAGGCTGCGGTTCGGATCCCACATTGAGGGCCAGTGACGTTTGCCCTCTACAGCTAAGATGATGACCAACAGCTCGACCTGGAGATGGGCTACTGTGAGTCGCCGGCGACGGCGTAAGCTGCAGTGGGGCTACAGTGGGGTGCCGTGAGCTACGTGAGTGGCCGGCAGCCAGCATGAGCGGCCAGGAGCTGCTGTGAGCGGCTGACCAATGACCGGCAACTGATTGCCTCATCCAGGAAGAGTACAATGATCATACCAACATGGGCCAGTGAAGTGACGTCCTCCACAACTAGACTGAAGAACAAAACAGCAATTTGTCTGTCTGTTCCCCTTTCCTGATTCCCCAACGCTGTTCCCCTCCCCCCAATTCCCCAATAAAAATCTTAAAAAGGAAAAAAAGGTATTATTCACATAATGGTGATTTCATTTGTTTTATGGCTCTCAAATAATTTTTGAATTGTTGTGAGGGACAGGATTGGCTCTTCCGTCTCAAAAGTTTGCCAACCCCTGGGATAGATTATCCCAGGCTTAGCTAAGCTTTTAAAGTTTGTTTTTAAAACTCTTTTCTTAAAACATAAACCAGTTTTTTCTCATACATTCAGTTACATAAAGGAAAAGTCGAAAGTCCTGTAATATCGCCCATCATATTCACTAGAGGTTACACATTAAAAATTTGGTATGTCTCCTTTCAATCATTTTAAATATACATACATTCATATTGTTGGGAGGAAAAACTTTCCCTCTATCCACTCAGGTTCAGCGATGGGGGCCTACAAATTTAACTGACAGTAGACAGAATAACAGGATAAAATACAAAAGTTTATTTAGGGCTAGAGGAGCCTTTAGATGAATTGGCCCCTAAAACAGCCAAAGATAGGGGTTCATATTCCCATTTCTTTGGGGAAAGGGAGGGGGCAGAGCTTCAACACAAGAAAACTGGAAGGTATGAGAGATGAAGTTTATTGAAGTAATTACTCAGATTGTGATGATGGTTAGTCTCCTTTTTGGCTGAAACTCTCCCAGAGAGGGGATTTGTGTGTTGTACTTTTCAGAAGGCCCTGCTTAATTCAGCAAAGGAAGTTTAGATAAAACTTTTTTCCCCCCTCTGTGGCTGCTGTTTGTTCAAATATTTTTAGCTTAAAATAATTTTTATGCCACTAAGGTGCATTTTTGAATCCCTACATATTCACGTTTAAACTCTTAATAAATAACACTAAATAACAGTGCTAGGAACTGTCCCAGATGTTTGGGACATAGCAATGTACAAAACAGACAAAACAAAAACAAAAACAGCCCTGCGTTCATAGAGCTAACATTTTATAATAATAACTAACACGACTAAAAACATCTCTTACAAACAATGAGAATGTAAAATTATTTCTAGGAGAAAGGGGTCTTCAGTTAGAACAAGATTGCAGGGTCTCTTTCTAGGGGTCTTCTCCAGGTTTTACATACATGTCAGAAAACACCTAACAAAGAAACACTAAAAGCTTTTGAAATTCTATTTTTTTTTTTTAGTAGGATATTTTACAGGCCTGGACTTTTACATTTTTAAAACTTTACTTGATGGAAATTTTTCACCAAGAAGGCCCCGAAGTCTCCTTCAGGCTTCCTGTGGAGGAAAAGTGTGGCTGAAAACAGGTCTCGAAGGCAGGATTCTGGTTCCTCCTCGTGTGGCCTGCCCCTTTCTCAGCCTGTTTCCTCCTCTACAAAACGGGCATAAATGATATCTACCCTTTTAGATATTAGGGTTCGTACTGCAAATGGTATTAAAGTTTTAAACAACTTAACTGATGTAAAGCACTCAGAAAAGCCATTTACTCCTATATACTGACTGGGGCAATGCAGGCACAAGTCCTAGTTTTCAGGCTTCAGCAGGTGTTATCTTCATATTTAGGACAAATTCTTTCATCTCTCTGGTATCTCTAAGATTCTGAATGGTGGTGTTCCTGCCTGCTTGGGTAAGCTGGAAACAGCTCACTTCCAAGGAAGAAAATCAGTGTCCATTGACTTATATGGGCTGGTTTAGTACAGCAAGAAGCAAGAGGGAGATTCTTAGAATCACAGCGAAAAGGAGCCTTAGGGTCAGCTGGGCCATGTCACACTCAATGCAGCCATCTTTACCATCTGCTCTGCCCCTGCTAAAATCCTTGCAGAAATGAGGCACCTGGGATCATGGGGCCTGGAGCACCGGGAGGGCTGCCAGGGGTGGGTGGGTCCAGCTGAAGCCAAACAGTGAGCAGGGCATGTCCTGGGGTAAGTCCCTTTGAGTGCTGCCAAGGGGGAATATGATCCCGGGCTTGTCACAGCCCCCCGCCCCCCCCAAAATAATAACACTAGAAATTTAGATTTGTATGTGAGATCTCCCACATTTTTAATGTTGGTTCACATTTATGCAACATTGTGAGGGTCAAACAACACACCTCTGCTGCCAGGTGAGACTCAATGGCCTCCATTTTCAACCTCTGTCCTGGAGGGGAAGGGGGCTGGCTCTGGGCTCTGCGGATTTGGATTCACATCCCGCCTCTGGTACTCCTTGGCCAATTACCTATCATCCCTTCCTTCCATTTTCTCATTTGTAAAGTAGGGTTTGTCACAGTCCTACTTTGTAAGAGTTCCTGCAGGACTGAATACAATTCTATGAAGTATGGACAGAAAAGCTTAGCACAGTGGATGGCACACAGTAGGTGTTTATCAGTTCTTACTATGATTGTTGTTTGATAAGCCGTGTCACTCCCTCAGGCTGGACAGCAGTAAATCTAATCAGGTAGATGTAAGAATCACCCTGAGGTTTACATGAATTACTCCTTGCAAAGCCTTTTCCAGTTCCTGAAATACAGTCAGTGCTCTGTCAGTGCTGGTCATCCTGACTCTCCCTTATCATCTGGCTGATTTCTGAGAGCCCTCAGGAAAAGAGCAACGTTTCACTCTGAATTTTACTCACATGTCAGGCAGACCATGGTGATGCGGATAGACAAGTCCAGAAGCAGCGCCCAGCGCTTTGACACCTGGGAGATGGCTAAGGGGATGATGATTTCTGCAGGGACATAGAATTGCAGGGCGTAGGTGCCCAGGATGCCAGCGATGTACAGGAGCTTGACCGACTGGTACAGCCTGCAGGACACACCAGAGAGAGGCTTTCTAAGGCCACCGGGCAATGACATCCTACCTCCTCAGAACATTAACCTCTGACCTGTCTGAAAATGATGGGGAGGGGACGTCTAAGGGCCAAGAGGGAGTCACAGCAGAGCACGCAGTGAAAATAGACCGAAGCACCACGGATTCGAATGGCAACATGCTCAATAAAAAGAATCTTGAACGTGGGTCTATATCACACCTTCACAAACCACTGTCACTTGATGCTGTTTTAGATTTTAGGAAACAGGCACAGTCTGTGTACCTTGCCCAGTGAGAGACAAGTGCTAAGTGATGAAAACCAAAACCCTGGGTCTAAAAGGCTCTGGTCCCTGTGATCTCTGTCAGTCCTTAGGAATTCCCTGGATCTCCCAAAGCTCTGGGCACATACAGGTCCTCAACAAATGCTTCTATGTGAGAACTGCAGAATCCCAAAATTCTTAGGGGAAGAGGAAGTCTACAAATAGGGTTGTGGGGGCTCTGGGGGTAAAAGGAGAGTCAGGGTTACTTGCAGGCCTTGGACTCGAGGCAGAGAGATGGTGTGACAGGGACGTTGAGTTTTATCGAAGTCTTCTTTCAACGATGGATATGTGACATTTTTCCTTTAGTCCACTAATGTGGTAGATGCATTTTCCATGTTTAATAAACCTGTGCATGTGTGTGTGTGCGCGTGTGCGTGTGTGTGTGTGTGCGTGCGCGCGCGCGCGTGCAACTGTGTCTGTGTTTAGGCCATTCCTTAAAACAACTAACTCCCACATTTCTGTTTCTTGCTTACACTAGTCCTGATGCCTGGAACGCTACTTTAGTCCATTTCCATCTATCCAAGCACACCAATTTCTTGACATTCCCATCTTTAGAGCAGGTACTACATGCCAGATGCTTTTAGACACGCCCAACTCAATCCTCATGAGAATTCTGCTTTATAGGTGAAGAAACTGAGGGTCAGAGAGGTGAATAAATCATGCATGACCCTAAACTTGGAGGCTGTGGACTGGGGCCTGGACCCGGGAGTGCCAGAGCTGTCCTCGTTTGGACAGACTTGTCTCGTTAGACAACAAGATTCTCTGTCATCCCATTCCAGTGTACTTTCTTTCCTTGGAAGTCCCCAAGGTCTCTTTGTTCCTCTAGAGGCGTCTTTATCTGTTCTGTGTTATATTTGTGTACATACACGCTCTCTCCCTCCCCCATTCCCACTGGGTGATGAGCTGAGGAAGGTGGTGAAGCTCAAGTTCATAGTCTACTGACATTAGCACCCTCCACACCCTCATGTGTCCAGACTCACATCTGCATATAATTAGCATGCAGTAAATGCTTGATGAGTGACATTGATCAACTTGGGAAAGAAGCCCCATATAAGGCAAATTAAGCCTCCACGTGACCCTTAAAAAGGCAGGCATCCTGTAACTAACGACGTGCCCCCGAGTGGGAGAAAATGCTGCACAAGGCAATATGGGTTCATGTGTTTATTTAAATATAGCACTGAAGTCTGGCTCAGCTAACTGTTCACAAACTGAGTGCATCTGAAAAAAACGTTTTTACAGTGGTCTTCCCAAATTGGTTCTTGTTTTACTACTTTTTCATCCTAGCTACTCTGACATGGGGATGTGCACCACTGGCTGTGGCAAGTAGGATTTGGTAACACAGCCTTTGTAAATATACAAAATATCCTCTCTCTGCCTCTTGCCCTCCCCCAGACACCTTCCCTCTCTCCTTAGGTGACCAAGGACTCTCATTTCTTCCCTCTCTTCCTACATCTTGTCCTTTATGCTGAGCTCACAAGGCCTCGCTCAACATGGCAGGCTGTGGTTGAAGGACAGGCTCCCTGGGCAGATGACACAGAGCCCAAGGTTCTAGCAACAGCTCTACTCTTCCCTGGGGAAGCCCCCTAGACTTCAGTTTGCCATCTGTAGAAGGGAGGAGGAAGTGACCCGCATGTTCCCACCTGGCCCTGAGTTCCTACCCGCTAGGGGCCCATAAAGTTACCAGCAGTTGGGCAGGTTAAGGGTTATGCTGGCCTTGATGTCGTTTTCAAACCGCAGGTAGCCAAGAACCCCGATGGCAATGTAAAGGGCAGTGATGATGGACATTCCCAAAGACAGGATGGCTGGGAAGCGGCGCGTATCCGTCATCTTGTTTTCCAGGGGCAGAACCTACAGAAATATCACAGTGTGAGAAGACAGGAGGAGAAAGAGGGATGTGACTAGAAAGAAGAAAGGCGTGCCATTTCTGGGTATCTACCCAAAAGAACTGGAAGTAGGAACTTGAACTGATATTTGCACGCCCATGTCCATAGCAGCAAGACTCACAGTAGCCAAAAGGTGGAAGCAACACAGGTGTCTGTGGATAGATGAATGGATAAACAAAATGTGGTATATATACACAATGGAATATTCAGCCTTAAAAAGGAAGGAAATTCTGACACATACGACAACAGGGATGAACCTTGAGGTCATAACGCGAAGTGAAATAAGCCAGTCACAAAAAGACAAATACTGCATGATTCCATTTACATCAGGTACCTGGAGTAGTCACATTCCTAGAGTCAAAAAGTAGAATGATGGTTTCCAGGGACTGGGGAGGAGGGGAATGAGGAGTAACTGTTTAATGGGCACAGAGTTTCACTTTTGTGAGATGAAAGGAATTCTGGACATGGATGGCGGTGATGGCAGCACAATAATGGGAATGTACATCATGTCACTGAACTGTACACTTAAAATTGGCTAAGATGGTATATTTTGTTAGGTACACTTTACCAGAATTAAAGAAAAAAAAAAAGGAAGAAAGGAAAGAGATCCTGGAGTCACAAGATGAACCTTGGCCCATTCAGAGCAGGAAGGGCCCCTCAGGTTGTCCAGACCAAGGAGATCAGCTCCGTGGGGCAGCCGGAGCTGGCCAGAGTACTCTTTTCCAGAGTCTCATAAACTAATATTAAAAATGTATAGGATACAGTCTAATTACTCAATGTACAAAGAACCAAGAAAATCTCAACAAGTCTCAAGAGAAGACAACAGATGCCAACCCTAAGATGACTCAAATGTTGGAACCATCAAAGACTTTAAAGCAGCTATTATAACCATCCTCCATGAAGTAAGGGAGAACATTATTGAAATAAGTGGAGAAATATAAATTCTCAGCAAAGAAGTAGAAGTAAAATAAAAGAACCAGATGAAAATTTTAGAACTGAAAACCCTCACTTGAAAGGCCCAATTTAGATGACAGACCACAGAGTCAATGATCTTGAAAATAGACCAACAGGAAGTATTGCATCTGAACATAAAAGGAGAAAAAATATTTTAAAAAATGAATAGAGCCTCAGAAACCTGTGGGACACGTATCAAAAGCTCTAACGTTCATGTGATTGGAGTTCCGTAAGGAGAAGAGAAAGAGATCGGTGCAGAAAATTTTTTTTGAGAAAAGAGTGGTTGAAAACGTCCCAAATTAGGTAAAGACACACATTTACACATTCAAGAAATATGTGAATTTCAAACAGAAGAAACTCAAAACTATATCAAATATATGATATAACTATTTTAATATAACTGCTGAAAACCAAAGATTACAAAAAAAAAAAAAGAAGAATCTTGAAAGTACCCAGATAAAAAGAACATATTACATATAGGGGAACAATGATTCAAATAATTGCAGTTTTCTCATCAGAACCATCGAGGGCAAAAGGAAGGGAAACCATATTTTCAAAGTGCCCAAATCAAAACAAAGCAAAACTGTCAACGTAAACTTCTATACTGTGAAAAAAAAATCCTTCAGGAATAAAAACATTCTAAGGTGAAGAGAATGAAGGGAATTTGTCACCAGCCGAAAAAAAAATGCTAATGTAGGTTCTTCATGCTGAAGGGAAACAATACAAGAAGGGGACTTGTGAACTCAAGAATAAAGAGCAACAGAAATGGTTAATTATCATGACAGATATAAAGACTATTTTTCTCCTGGTAAGTTTGTTATAAGTAAGTAAGGACTATGTATGACTGTTGAAAGCAAAAATTATAACATCGTCTAATTGTGTTTTAATGTATTGAGATGTAATACATGTGGGCAATACAATATAATGGGGGAAAGTAAAAGAACCTATATGACTGTAAGATTTCTACATGTGTATAAGAAATGATAAAATGTTAACTCTAAACTGTGCAAAGTTATATATGTATATTATTGTCCTCAAGGCAACCGTTAATATATTATAGACAGAGGTATACTAGTCAAAATTCCAATAGGGAGATTCAAGTGGAATACTAGAAAGTATTTAAATAATCCAAAAGAAGATAAAAAAGGGACACCAAGGGAAAGCACAGGAAGGGTAAAACAGAAAACAAATAAAACACAGACCTAATAACCATAATAATTATGTTACCTGCAAATGGTCTAACCACACCAATTAAAAGACAAAGATGGTCAGATTGGATTAAAAAACAAGACTCAATGATATTCTGCCTGGGATCTAGCAAACCTACTCCTAGAGACATAAAAACTTACGTTCACACAAATGCTTATAGCAGCATTAATCATAATTGTCAAAGACTAGAAGCAACCTAAATGTCCTTAGGTAGGTGAATTGATAAACAAATTATGACTTTGCCCCTACAGCGGATGCTCAGAGATAGGAAGCAATGAGCTACTGGTGCATGCAGCAGATGGGTCTTAAATGCGGCTCAGTGAAAGAAGCCAGTGTCAGAAGGTCACTTACTGTATGATCCCCTGTATATGACATTCTGGACAAATAAGACAACAGAGACAGAGAACAGAAGGTGGTGGCCAGGGGTTAGCAGTGGTGGTGAGGAGAGCTGACTAAAAAGGGGGCAGCACGAGGGAGTTTTTGTTTTTGTGGTGAGGGCATCGTTCTGTGTCCTGACTGTGATACATCTATGATGCCATGCATTTCGTGAAGCTTACGGAAATGTACCCCACCTTGAAAACAACGAATTGTGCTCTATGGAAATTAAAAGTTAACTTAAAAATTATATACACAGCACTATCCTTCCTCGAGTGTGGACGTGGAGACTATGTAATAGGCCATGGTAAGTATACAGCACTTTCCAGTTTAAAACTTCTTTATGTTTCATCAAATCCTGTCATTTCAATTGTACACCTTCACGTGTCTTGATTTGAAACGATTAGGAAACATGTGTTGATATGAAGATAACTGTTTAATAGATGTACTGGGATGAGGCTAGAGCTCTGTCTCCTGCCTGCCTCTCTGCTGTAACCTACTTTTCTCCTGTGGATGATAAATGACCCAACTGAGGTCAGAGGTTACTTTCTCCGGTGGACACAGAGACCCAGAAACCCAGAGCTCCCAACTCCTGCTCAGGTCACCCACAACATCCGGGAAATTCTACCCCAATTCAAACCTTACCACGCCAATGCTTTCAAATGAAAAAATGGCTGTTCCAAAGAAGAGAGAGTAGGTCTTCCAACTTGCTATAAGGGGCAACCGGCTGGGGTCTGGAATTTCCTATAGGAGAGAGAAACGGGGTGAGACATTAACTCTCAAAGCATATTTGGGCTGCTTTAAGTGGGGAGTATTCTGAAAGTAGACCTGAATTTTTAAAAATTGAAGGTCAAGGAAAGTTCCAAAGGCAGTAGACGACTATCAAAGCTGATTTTAACACTGCACAATAACCAAGAGCCAGAGGGAAAAAACATCAAGGTATTGTCAAAGTAGAGAAGGATCAGTATCTCACAAAGGGAGTTTGGTTTCTCAGAATCTAACAAAAGAAAATCTTACACACCACAGGTTAGTGCCCAAGAACACTTTGAACGTACAATGGTAACAAGTGGTAGAAATTTGTGTGACTACGGCTCAGTGATATTCTAGGGAACCCAAAGGAATTAGCTAAATATGAAAGTCCCCTCTTCTTCAGTGAGCTGTAAATTGAAGGGGAGGAAAGTATATGAAATAAATATGCTACGTACCCTGTGACCTAGAATGTGCAAATCATTACAGAACCATTTTTCTGATTGGGCAACCTCTGGAATAGTCCAAAAATAAATTGGAGGTAGCTATCTCAACGGGACATTCCATTCTGTAGAATATATCAATATTGCCTTAAGGAACATAGTTATCCTAAAATACTTGACTACTTTGTTATTTTTATTAAATGCCATGGACAATATAATGTTTTTTCCCTTGTGACTTCTGAAAAACATCCGAAAGGTATTAGGTATCCAAGGGGCTTCTGGGACTTAAATTACTATGTAAGTAGTCTTGTCCATTATAAAAGAAAAATGAGAAAGAATAGAGAAGTAGGGAATTGAGGAAAAAAAATCAATATCCATAACTCAACCTCAAAGACATTATAATTTACATCATGACAGATTGGCTTATGGTCTTTCAAGACTCTCTAGTTCTATCTCTGTGATGAAATATGAGAGTGTTTTTGGTCTCTTGACTGCTCTAGGGATAATTTTGGGTGCCAGAAATTATTGCCTAGAGGCTGTAGGACTATGGGTAACTGAATAAGAAGATGCTGCTTTTTATCTGCCTTATGCTGCTATCCAACCATTACAGGAATGATTTATAGTTCACCAATTTAGGTGTTTTCCTTGCAAAGCATTTTTTTTTTAAGCCAGAATTTGACATAAAAAGTGTAATGGAGAAGAACCATGAAAGAGAAGATATCCAGAAGAATGAGATTTCACAGAGACATCTTTGTGGAAAAAATGCTACAATGAGGTGGGTACAAGGCTGAAGAATTAAATCACCTACCCTCAGGGCTAGCGCCAGGTATCAGTCTATTATTGCTAAAAGGATCTGCCCCCTGGAGGAGTCAGGCGTGTGGTGTGTACCAACCTGGACAATGTACTGGGCGATGATGACCAGGCTGACCAGCATGCTGATGTTGGCCAACATGGAGAAGATGGACAGGACCCTGAGGTTCCTGACAAACACCAGCAGCACCAGGAAGGGCAGGAAGGTGAGCATGTAGAGTCTCGAGTCCATGGTGGGCGTCAGAATCACCGTCTCGTTGTTGTGGCAGTTGGTGGTGGTGCTATTAACAGCTTCCACTACCTGAGGAAGGAATGGGAAAAGCAAGCCAAAGAGTCAATAAATCTCCTGGCCACGTGATTGGCCCAGTGCCTGGCCCATCATCAAACTCCTTCACAAAGAGCTGGAATGCCTCCCGTGAGTTAGGGTGCATTTCAGGACTTTGTAGTGTAAATCTTCTGTACCATATTTCCTCAAAAGAGGCTGCACAAGTTAACCTTTAGCAAAAAATAAACTTAATGAAAAATAAATAACTGGATTTATAGTGGCTGTTTGTTGGCCTTTGGCAACCCAGCATCCATTCCTGCTGACTTTGATCTATTTTTGGTGAATTCTCTCTCTCACCTGAACGCAATCTTGGAGGACTGTAAGTCACAATCGTATGGCAGAGCTGAAGGGCTGGCCTTTGACTCAAGCTAGGGCATTCACAGTCTCTCCCTGAATCTGAATCTAAACAACTAGCAAAATAACACAAGGACCGAACAGGAAAGGGTAAAAATTAATTCTGACAAGGGATCCCAGAGGAAAACTGCTTATCAGTTCTATCTATATGCTACTAACTGCCCTGGTTTCTGTTCTTTTCTGAGACCCATTTTTTTTTTAGCTTGCTCCCTCATTTTGGAAGTTAGCCAATATTCTTCCCTTAGCCTTATTTTCTACTTATGTTCCCAGAATCTGCTTCTTTTGCTTATAAGAAAAACCAAAACAAACAAAAATCCATCACTTGCTGTTTTTTTTACTTAGACCAATACTGGCATTCTGAGTGAGAGAATTCTTTGTCTATGAGGATTGGACCATGACTGCAGGCCATTTAGCATCACTAGATTGCACTCAATAAAAGGTACTAGCATCCCCCAACTATTGTGACAGATAAGAAACACACTCCTGCACATAGTACGAACACCCACTGGAAAAGTCAGGGGCAGTGGGGAGATGGTACCACCCTCATTGAGAATCAGCGTGACTTAACTGATAAGAGTCTTATTGTACAAGCAAATACAACCCACTGCAGAACAATGAGAAACTAGAGATAGGCACAAAGAAAATGTAAAGCAATGATAATCTTAGTACCCATGGGTAGTCATGTAATGCATCTATACATTTTCTACACAATATCATAAATGACATGTATACAAGACTGGAATCAGAGCATACACTCTTATTTTGGAAATGTCCTTTTCATTTAACAATACGCCATAGATATTTAAAACAAATCATTAAGTCTTGTTTTTTCTGATTCCTCACTATAGTAGGAAAAATACTTAGAACCTTAGCCAGGCATTCAAGGCCCTCACCGGCCCCATGCAACCCTGAAGGTTCTTCCTCTCCCGAGGCCCACACCTTCTTCTACAACCTATTGTACTGCATCTCCTGAGCAAATCCTTACGTACCTGCCTCCAGGTGTGCACTACTCCACTCTCCCACTTTGGCTGCCATCAACGCCCTTCAACCCCCAGCTCAGATGCACCTCCCAAGGGAGTTTTCCCATGCTCCACTGAGCTATCCTGCCCTCGCTCATTTCTGCCCTTTAGTTCACAATAAGCACCCTGACCTCAGGGTGTTGTTAGTGGTGTCCTGACGCGGCACCAAAATAGCATCTGATATTTCACTTTTTATTATGTTTTAGAACACATCCCACTTAGCCTGCAAACTCCTCGAGACAATGCTTGCCTTGTCTCTAGACAGATGATGCATAAAGTTCTGCTGATATCAGACTGATTTCCAAGTAGCAATCTGGCAATGTATTTTAAAAGCCTTCAAAACAATCAAACTCTGACCCAGTAATTTTACTTTAAGAAATACATACTAAGGAAATAAAAGGGTGTACTAAGACTTACACAGATAACAGGTGAAAAACAGATTATAGTAGAAAAATAAAGGGAAACAAAATATCCAACAATCAAAGACTAAGTCTTGGTCAATCTGTATGATGGAATATTATTAAACTATTAACAATTGTATTACAAACCATAAGGAAATTGCAAAACGCTAACCAATTAATAACTGAAAACTGAGTGTTTAGATTCAGAATAATTGTGTTTTGTTTTGAGAAGCATAGAGTTTTTAAGAACTCGAGCTCTGATGTCAAAAGGCCTGTATTTTTAACTTTGGCTCTGTGATCTTATGGAGTTGATAGCATCAGTTTTCTAATCTGCAAAATAGGAATAAGCACAGTACCTACTCTGATAAGGCCATGGAGAGAATTAAATGAGGGAAAGCAAATAAAATGCTCAGCACTATACCTGATACATAATAGAAGCTAACTCTGAATGCTTACTACTTTTTTCCTTCTATTTTTTTTTGTTTGTTTCCAATTTTCTGATATTACCACTAGCAGAAAAAGAGCCCTAAAGAACAGTTTTCTTTTTCAAGCTTATTGATTGACTGAGGATGGCCTCTGGTATTACCCATATTATTTTGCTCAAATTGCTACAAGATAACTTCTGGGTTAGATAAAAAGATCTTGGCGAGAACCACAACTGTTACACCATAAAGATGAAGCAACTAAAGGTAGAAAAAGATAGCCCAAAGATGATTAGGTATTACCCAAAAAGATCCACATCAGGTTTAGAAGTGTTAAGGATGATTCAGCTCCAAGGCAAGATTGCAAAATCCAAGATTTCTTCCAGTCTAATTTTAAAGACCAACCTTAAGGACTGGTCCAAAATACTGGACAAAGGGTATTGTGGAAAAAATAACAACTCATAGAAACCTGCAGATATGTGAACAGGGGGAAGTCTGGGTTCTTCGACAGCAGCTAGCTTAACTTTCTTTTTTATATTGATGAGGATACTAGGACCCCCAAAAGAAGACGCCATTTGTTGAACTAGCAGAGGACCCTCCTTTTCCATGACTTGTTCACTCCCACCTTCTCTAGAAGACTCTACCTGTTTTAAATTATCAGCCAGAAACACGATGTATACACAGCAGAAGCCCAGCTGGGTGAAGACAAGGAAGAAGCTCACCATATGCCTGGGAGAGAGAGAGAGAGAAAGAACACTTGTTATAAAAAACGAGTTAGCTTATCATTTCCATTTCCGTCCCCAGGGGCTGGTGACTCCATACCAGCACTCTTGGTCATGCCACCACAATCAACAGTGGGGCAGTAGTAAGAAGTGAGGTTAACAATAGTTCTTTTAAAAATGTTTCTCAGCCACCCTCACATTCTCAGCTCAGGAAGTGGTAAAATTCTTCACGGTCAGGAGCCTCTCCCAATACGTGGCTCTGTGGCCTTTCTTGTAATTGACACTAGCTGATGTAGGGCAGTGGGCACAATGTTTTTTTGTATTAGTTATCATTAACATTTAAAAATTTTTTCTACCATGTGCCAGACACTATATTAAGCACCGAAGGTACAGAGACAAATAACACATGGTCCCTTCTTCCAGTGGTTTATAGACTAGTCGGCAAGATGGATCAAAACTAATATGGTGCTGGGGCGGCCAGTTAGCTCAGGTGGTTAGAGCGCAGGCTCATAACACCAAGGCTGCCGGTTCGATTCCCACATGGGCCATGGAGCTGTGCCCTCCACAACTAGATTGAAGACAACTACTTGACTTGGAGCTGATGGGTCCCGGAAAAACACACTGTTCCCCAATGAAAAATTTTAAAAAAGAAGATATCTTTAAAAAAATAGATATGGTGCTAAGAACCATGGTATAAAGGGAATTTTACCCAAATTACAGAGTGGATAGCCTTCTTAGAAAAATCAATATCTGAAGGGAGTCCCTTGGGAAAGGGAAGAAAGAGGGATAAAAGAAGAAAGAGAAGGAAGAGGGCGTGGAGGGAAAGAAGTGAGGAAACAGCGTTTCAGCAGAGGGGTTGGGCAGGTTTCTCTTGCTGCCATGTGAACACATTGGAGGGGGCATTGCTATGGATGGGAAGACTGGATAGAAGATTGTTACAATAACGGAGGTGAAAGATGGCAGCAGCCTGGCCAAAGATGTGGCCATCAGGATGAGAGCATTAAAGCATTTTAAGAGATACTACGAAGCTAGAACTTACAGATCTTGGTTGACCACCTACAGCTGGGGAAAAGGGAAAGGAAATGATCTAAGGAGATTGACAGGTTTTTGGCTGAGACAACACAATGAACTGGGAAACTTGGAAGGAAGAACAGGTTTCAGGGGAAGGGGAAGAAACGACATATTACTCAGTCTCTGAATTCTTGAGCTTGAGGTTCCTACAGGAGACATTCAGGAGACAACTATATATAAAGGTCTGGAGCTGTTGACTTGTTGGTAAAGGGTAAAGCCTCGAGAAAGAAGATCAGTGTGGAAAGAAGGCAGCGTTCCAGCCCTAGAGAACACCAACATTTAAAGGAAGGATAGAAACAAAAAGCCTACAACAAATGCAAAGGAAGGTAGGCAGGAAACGAAGACCAAAAAGGGGTTAATAGAAGCCAAATGAAGGGGGAACGTTTGAAGAAGAGAAAATTGGACCCAGTGCTGCTGAGTGGTTCTCCTGGGCAAGGAGGTTTCTTAGGACATTGGTGAAAAAGAAGTTCTGCAGAAGCGTAAGAACAAAAAAGCCAGGTGACCCATGAAAGAGGTGTGAACGAGATATTCAGAAGAAAAGTCAGAGGATGGACTGTTCCTCCATGAAGCAAATATGTCAGCCCAGTATTGATAGCGCCCATTTTGTTCATCACTGCAGCCCCACTGCCTAAAGCAATTCCTGACACGCTGTTGGTATTTGGTAGTTATCTTTTGACTAACCAGGTGTTGACTATGAGATAGGATGGTGGCTAGAGGATGGTGTGAGGTCCCAGAAGCTTTATTATTTTATTATTTTTAAGATGGAGATATGTGAACACATTTAAATGTTGAGAGGAAGAGCCCATAGTTCAAAAGAGAAGTTCAAGTTACAGGACAGGAGATGATTCATGGAGCCAGTTCCCTAAAATGGCAGGGAGAGCTATTTTATATGCCCAACATTGAGTAGAAGGAATTGAGGCGTTGTGACAGGCAAAAAAAAAAAACAACAAACCTCCTTAGGTGAATCAATTGGGAAAATTCTGGTTACCATCCCATGGCCTTTCTAGTCTGCTCATAGGCTGAATTTATTTATTCAGTGTGTGAATGGGCTTTTGACCAAGGGAGGTGCCAGACCCATGATGCTCTGCAGACTACGTTACATGGACAGGGCACCCCTCAGGTGCTGCAGTGGTTTGGGGTGTCATGGCTCAAGAGAGACTTTGGCAATCTAGATAGTGCTCAGAAAAGAGTAGACATATGGGGTGAGGACAGGTCTGAAAACAAAGACAAAAGAGTAGATTTAGTCTCGAGTACCAGGGGACAGAGGGGGTTCACTTGTTCTGTGTCACCTGTGAAAGCTAAAAGGTAGGAGCTGAAGAAGGAAGACTTCAGCTCACCAAAGGGTCATTAACATACTGGTCTTTTCCCTCTTGTGTCCTCGCTATAAACTCCCTCCCTAAGAGACCTCTTCTGCTCCCTGGCTTCATGGCTGATGACTTCAATTCCGTATCTCCTGCATGAAGACAGGTTCAAATGTACACATACAACTACCTACTTGACATCGCCACTGGAATATCTCTCAGGCACTTCCAACACAATTTGTCCCAAACAGAAGTCATCAGAAATCTAATTCCACCTTGACGGTTTCCTTTTCCCATAATCCCAGGATCCAAATCATGACCACCTTCACGTTTCTCCATCTCCATTGCCACCAGCTTGGTCCTAGCCATCACTACCACCTGCCTGGACATGGTCAATAGCATTTCTCATGGGTCTGACTCATCTGTTCTTGCTCCTTTCCAATCTATTTCCTTACAGAAGCCAGACAGATCTTTCAACAATCAATGCAAATGTGATTACTTCCTTGATTAAAACTTTCCAACGGCTTCCTGGTTGCTTTTAAGAAAAGAACAAAGCCTTCAAGGGGGGCTAAAATGTACATCTTGATCGGCCCCCCGGATCCTTCTTGAGCTTTGTCTCCCTGACTCTCTGCCCTCAAGCTACCTGGTCTTTCTACACCTTGAAACTGCCACGTACTCCTTTCTGCTTCGGGACCTTCAAGCCTTGCTAGTCCTTCTTCCTAGAAGGCCCTCTGGGCTCTTGCCCACTTTCCCACAGGTACCTCCTCATCCTTAAGAACTCTTTCCTTCAGAACTCACTCCCACTATTCCATCCTGGGAAGCCCGCCCAAAGCCCCACACACATCTTCTTCCCTTCACTGTACTTACCCCAGTGGTCACTAAGAAACTGTCTGAAACTGCCTGACGTCTGCCTTTCCCACTGGACTATGAGTTCTGTGAGGGCAAAGCCCTGTTTGCCTTGTTCTTCACAGCATTTCCAGGGCCTGGGACATAGTAGCAACGTGATAAATGTAGTTTAATAAAAAAGTGGAATAACATTCAAGCCGCAGAGCCAAGGAATGAGGACCCTGACACTGGAGGTATACAAGTATGAGCCCCTTCCGTGCAGGAAGTGCAACATGCTGTGCTACATGAGCCAGCTTTCCAGGGAAGAAAGCATCCCTGATAGCCGCACGTCCTCCGCCTATAACCCACCCTACTTCTGGCAAAGCAAGAACAAGGTACCTTCCCCAGTGGGCGTGTTCCCGGAGCCAGGAGCTGGGGCTGGCTTCTAGTCCGTGCATCACTGTATCCCCATAGTCCATAAAGGGCTTGTTAAGCCTGCAGGAAAAGTACATACACAGTCACCAAGAGGCAGTTTAAACTAGAATCCTATACTGAAAAGTCAGGAGACACAAAAGAAGGCAGGACTCAGCTGGAGTGGGAAGAGCAGTAACCAAACCTCTAGTTCGGGCTTTGACACCTGGTGGTATTTCCTTGGTGGCTTGTTTTCCTTACCTGTCAAGTGGTTAGTACATAACAAGGGTAATAATACACACCTTGCGTGGGTACAGTAGTTCTCCTACCCATGATCCCACTGGATCCCCATGACAAATCCCTGAGGCAGGGTTAGGCATGGACTGTTTATGCGCAGTTCACAGATGAGCCAAGCAGATACGCACAGTGAGAGCACCTACTCAGTCACGTGGCAGAGCCTCACCTTACGTCCCCGCCCCGAACACTTTTCTCTTTTTCTTGGCCTTGTTGGAGGAAATTAAGAAATAAACTCTTGTTATGTGTAAGATGTTTCTGGGGTGTCCCTGACAGCCAAGTAGCAAAGGAATTGACATGAGGACAGTTTTCCTCACCTGTGGCAGAAGCGCTGGGCACACCTGACCAGGATGTGCATACAGTGGCAGGCGATGAAGCCAATTGCCAGCAGACTCAGTGGGCCCATCTGCAGGAAGGGGGGTGGGCGGGGCAAGGGGCAGGGAAGAGAGGAGAGAACGAATGTGTGAAGAGCACTGTAGGGAGCAATGTGGCAGTGCAGGTATCATTCAGGACTCGACGATCTTTCCTAGCAAACTGGTTTGCAAGCCCTTTTGAGCAGCAACAGCTATTATTTCAAGTATAATCTCGAGGACTGCTCCAATGAAATACATAAAGCGATGACAATGGGCTGTTGTGGTGGGAGTAGGGGACCCAGGATTCTGTACTTTAGTGGCCTCTGAGGCATCCACGAGAACCTGTGCTCTATGGAGCACGAATGGAAAGTCAAAGTCCAACCCCTGCATTCTACAAGGGAGGAAACTGAGGCTCCGAGAGTGGACAAAGGACTTCCAAAGGCCACTCAAAGGCCATGGCAGAGCCGGAACTCAAACCCGGGCTACGTGTCTGGACTTCAAGTCTGGACCAAGCTGCCTCCCAGAAAGAGTGCTCATTGTGAGCCATTATAAACCCGTAGAGCCTCTCTTCTCACCTCCCTGCGCCCACCCAGTCCTACTGCCCCCCATGTGGCAGCACTCCTCACCAGCAGGCCTGCGTTCTTCACCGCCAGGGGCAGGCCCAGGACTCCTGTGCCCATGTTGCCTTTCACCAGGTGGATCAAGGTCTGGAACGCTCTACAGGAGAGAAAAAAGACACGGGGACGTAGGTGTGTGTGACAGGGTAGGCAGATGGATAGAAATGAGCAGGAGGAGAAATTCCGCCCGGATTAGAAAGCCCCTTGCTGCAGCTCCTACTTGGCTCAAGGTGCCTGGCAGATTCCCAGCAGGACTCCAGGCTTCCACATACTTCTAAGTCAAAGAGATGTGTTGTTAACAGTCAGAGAAGAGGGGAACCCATCATGTTTGTCACCAATATCTTACTAGCCCACCAGGACTCCAGGGTTTCACACACCTCTAAGGGATGTCTTTGCTCATCCCCCCAAATCAAGGGAATGTATTTACTCATCCCCGTAAATCAAAGGGGTGTATTCACACATGCCCCAATATCAAAGAAATGCATTGCTAAATGCCAGAGAACTAGGCACCTCGGGGAGAAAGAGAGATAAGAGGAGGGAGAGGGGGAGGCAATTCTACCCATCCTCATAGAAATAAAAGCCTTCACACAATGTAAGGTGGGCTGCGTCCCTCTCTTGGGTCAGCCGTCTCCATATCTGAGAGTGTACTTTCTTTTACTAATAAACTCCTGCTGCTCCATGCTGTACAAATTTCCGTCTCTTGATTGAATTCATTCTTTCAAGAAGAAGAAGAGCTGAGGTATTCAGCATCCAACAGACATCCCCGCACAGCATGCCAACACTTGAGTTAAGGTGGCTAGGTGGGCTCCTGGCCATCTCTCAGTCCCTATGGCCTTGCCGGGCACCTCTGGGTCTGTGGCAGGGTAACCAACCATTTTGGTTTGTCCAGAACTGTCCTGGTTTTAGCAGCTAACACTCAATAGACGCCATTATAATAATACTTATATAACTATATAACTGACACTGCGCTAAGTACTTACATGTATTATTTCATTTAATCCTCTCTTGTCAAGGCTAGGAAGTAGATGAGGAAACTGAGGGTAGAGGTTTTTGTAATGACTTCTCCAAGGATATACTGGGGAGCCAGGATTTGAACCTAGGACTGCTTCAGAGTCCCTGTTCTTCACCCCACTTCTACTGGACTGGCTCCCAGAAATAGGCCCAGGCAGATGAATAAAGGGACACCCCATTTCATAATCAAGGAAACTGAGGCTCAGGGAGTGGGCAGCGAACCACCCAACATCCTAAAACTAGTTAACAGAGAGAGGACTGAGCTCAGAGAAAAGGGAAAAGGGCAGGCAGCAAAGAGAGAAATCATTGTGGCTTCTGAATAAATAGGTCAGATGACTTGGCTCCCCAGATGCTGAGTGTTGAGACAGGGTCATTTGGGAATCGGGCTTCAGAGGGATTTTTTTTCCTCCCCCCTCAGGCTGGGACATCAAGCTGAGGGCTGGCATGACTCCTCCCACCCCAACAAAAACAAAAACACACACTCAGACCCTTTCTTTAAGATAAACGGGATGGTTGTCCAGAGCCCAAGGTCTACATGTCCAAAGATACAGTTCCAGGAAGGGACCCTCTCTGTGGATGAGTTACAAAAAACAACCTAGCTTCACATCTCTGTCCTTGGGCCAGGTTAAACCAAGGAGAGTATTGGATTTACATCTATAGCTTTGGACACCTTGAAAATCCTCCATGAGCACCTTTCAGAGAGGAGAGACTTCTTGTGAAGAGCAGCAGAGGTATTCTGGAAGGGGGCTGGTCTCTGAGGTTGAGCAAACCAGGGATTAAAACCCAAGGCCACCACCTAACTAGCTGTGTCATCTTGGGCAACGTGTCTACTCTGCTAAGTCTTTGTAAATGTTAGGAGGAATGATTATTTTGAAATAACTGCCTCAAACCCCCATACTTTCTGTTAATCCCTAACTCCTCTAGCTTCCTGAGGATCTGCCCATTGATTTGTTAAGGGTTAAAGAGAACAACTGGGGGTGAAGAAGGCTGGAGCCGGCATGCCTTTCTCTCTCCCTGTGGGTGTCAACACTGCTGACAGAGCACAGTGCCCTGTGGCCCTCCAATGATGTGCTTGTTGTGTAACTCTCCAAGGGTCAATGGGTCACCCTGGAGATTTCTAACTAAAGGGCTTAGGAAATCAGAGTTTAACTCTGGGCCACTCAGCCAACTTTAAAGCATAGTGTGGTGAGTTGTGCAAGGCACTGGGCTGGGAGGCAGGAAACCTGGGTTTTAGCCCTAACTCCTCTGGTGACTTTGGACCAGCTCCTATTCCCAACAGCCAACACTTCTGGACACCGCACTTGGGAGCTTCCTGTGCAATTCGCCTGTGCAGCCATCCCGGGAGGAGCAAAGTGTCATCTCACAGAGGAGGAACTGGGGCACAGGGTTCTGTCACTTGCGGCAAGTGGGAGCCGGAACTCAGCTCAGCGGACCCCATAGGTGCCGCGCTTACGAGACCTGTTTTGCTCATCCCCTCCAAGTCAGAGGGGCCCTCTTAGTTCTCACGTGCTTTATCTCTTTGATTCTTAAGAAGCTGAAACTGACACCAAGCCATGTGTCAGCTCAGAACACAAGAGCTAGTTGGTTTCCCCAACGTCTCTGATTGAGAAATACCCCAATTCAGCAAATGGATGGCCCCAAGGCCTAGAGAGCTCATCCTCAGTGTCTGGCACTCTTAGCAACCCCAGGACTAGCCCTGGGGCAACATCGCAACTTGGAGGCCAGTCATTGTGCCCATCCCTAAATTGCCCTGCAGGGTGGCAGTGAAAATAGGCTTTGCTTGCCCCTCCTAGTAACATTTCCTCCCTTTTGCACCCCTCCCACCCTTTCAGATTTAATTTCTACAGGCAGCCTCCTTAAATTCATACTGCCACCAATTTATCCCTGTTTTGTACATGGGAAAACTTGAGGCTTAAAGAAGGGAAGGAGCCAAGTCACAACTTGAATGCAGATGTTCTTTCTACTACACCCATGATGTCAAAATTTTCTTCTTAAAGCAGCAGAACTCGCCACCCCCATGTCGCCCCACCCATTTGTCCTAAGTGAACGAGCGACTCTGCTTGAGTGGTGGAGGCCAAGGGAGCAAGGGCCTTGTCGGTTGGCTTCCTGCCTAAACTTCCAGCAGACCCCTCCTTGGCACTGTTTGAAAGCCTCACGAGCGATCCTCTCTCTCCCCAGCCCCAAAACACACCCCAGGGAGATGGAAGAAACTAGGCTCTTCCACATACTGTGCTTTTGATGTCATCTCTGCAAGTCTTCACTGAAGCAGAGGCCAGGGTAACTGCAGGAAAGAGGCAGGTGTCATCTTCTCCTCCAAGAAGTTGGGAATTCTGCCCTTCACCCCAATATTATCAAAATTGGCCAGGAGCAAAGCTGGCTTTAGGACCAATACTGGATTCCAGTCTCCATCCATCCTGCCAATGACCCAGTGTGTGGCCTGGGGTAACTGGGCCTCAGTTTCCCTACCTGCACATGTGGAGGCTAGTTTGCTATAGTCTAAGGGCTGTCTGACAGTCTCCACTCCTGCCCCTTTAAGCTCTCATCTTGACTCAGCCTACAACTGCCCCTTTCCCAACCTTGGTTTCCCCATTTGCACAGTGAGTTGGGGGTCAGACACCGCCCCCCCCCACCATCCCTGCTGACCCCAGGGTTTTTGCCAATGCAAGCTTCCAGGCTGCAACGCAGCCATGAGGATGGCAGGAAGGAGCACTCACGTGATGCCCTTGGTCTTCTTCGAGTTGGGCAACTCAGAAGGGCTTCCATCCCAGAGACTGGATTCGTTGCTCTGCAGTTTCTTGGCACTTTCGGGAGGTGACCTGAGGTCCAGTTTGAGGTCAACAGCTCCCCGGGGACCCCCAGCACTCTTTGTGCTGGGCATGACTGCTTGAGAAAGAGAAGGCTCTGGGCGATGAGGAGGTCTGCCTTAGAAGGAGGCAAGCAAGAAGGTGTCTAGTCAGGTGCAAATCTCAACTCAGTGGCTTGTGCCTGATTAGTAGGCTCGTCCAAACTGGAGCGAGGCCCCACCTACCTCCCCGAGGGTGCTCCTCACAGGAGCAGATAGGGAGGAGGAGAAGAGGGGAGGGGTTTGGGAAGGGAGTCACTCACCCTTACCTTACAATAGCAATGGCAACAGTGACGACAATAGTGATCTTTTCAATAACTGACATTTAGTAAGCACTTCACTAAGGGACAAATACTCTTCTAAGTGCTGTAACCTGTCTTTTCTCATTTAATCCTATAAATTCAGGAATGTAGAGCAAGCTCTGAACTACAGGAACCTGCCTAAATTCACCTACATAGAGAGTGACAGAGTAGGGACCAGAGCCCAACTTCTCATGCTTTTTAACCAGTACCCTATTTCCACCTCCGAGAGAATACTTACTCAGTCCCACCTCCCTACTCGTCTCAGGGCAGGGGCTCCACTGCCCACTGGATGCAGGTCTACAGTAAGGTGTCCTTTTGAGAGCTCCCCTTTCTTGGAAAGTAGTTGGAAAAAGAAGCAATCGCTCACTCACCTCTAACTGCTTCTTAGCTTTTGTGAGGCTCCATCCAAGGAGAGCGTGCTGAAGATTCTTTTGGAAAAGGGGAGAGGCAGAGATTGAACAACCCCCAGTCAAATGTCACTGGGCAGGACAGTGGGCCAGGGGAGGGTGTGATTTGCCTAAGGCCACATGTCATCCAGGAGAACTCTGCCGCTAAAGTCCCTGGGGGTTTCTCTGGTGTTCCATTCTCTGTCATCATCTCGGCTTCAGTGACAGAGGGATGGGCCAAAATTTCCTCCTCCCTCCAAATTACAGCATTTTACTCACGCCACCCCACCCCCTGCCCCATCATCTCAGTGCCAAGAGCTTTACTTAAATATCTCAAAGCTAACTGGTTGCATCGGGACTGGGACTGATTTGTCTGGGCCCCTCCCTTCCATGGGACCCTTTCCAAGGTCCTGTATGCAATTTTGAATTTGTAATTTTGTATTCTTTTCCTTAAAGAGGCCCTCTCTACCCCTTATACTAGCCCTTATCCCCTCCCCCCAACCCCTCACCCCCATGGTATAAGCTTCAGGTTCCACAAAGCCTAGCTACTTCTCACGGTAGCATTGCTGTTTTGTTTTTACAGATGTGGAAACTGAGACTGAGAGAGGTAAAGAATAGCTTGCTCAAGGTCACGGCTAACCCTGGGCAGAGCCAGATCTTTGTATCTCTGAAGCCCACAGCCTAAACCACTAGCTTTGAATCCTGGCCCCACCCTTCCAGTTTCTTGTCCTGAATCAACTGAAACACTTGCTGTGGTTTGAGAAACGTCCTCTATTCATTTGTCTGGCACCACTACGTGGCAGTGTTCCTGGTCTGTGGGGCAGCAGGCGGCATCCAGCGGCCTGCTTATGTGCAGCACCGAGATTCCATAATTTGATTCTAAACTCAGAGCTCATCCCACCGACAGATCTTGTTCCTGTTCAGGCAACAAGATCAGTCAACGAGATTGTCAAGGAGCTCAAGGTGTTTATATATGAGGCTAGTTCTTGCTTTCCTTTCCAGGTTGTGAGAGGAACCCTGAGTTAACCTTCAAACCTTTGGGAAAGGGGGCTGCTGGTATATCGGGATTTGGCCGGGGCCCTTCCTTTCTAGGGTCAGCTAAAATGAAACTTGCAGGGCACCGCCTGCAGAACTCCAACTTGCTGCACACCTGTCAGCAGGAAAGAGGGGTTCTTCCAGGATAGCGGCCTCCAAAATAAGCCCTTCTAAACACTGGCCCCGGCATCTGTAGCTCTGGGTTCCACTGTGGCTCTACCACGCTGTTGGGACCTGGGAAAAGTACTCCCCGTCTTTTCCCCTTTGTGAAATGGGTGTTAGATCGTAGAGGACGTCTGAAGGACTGAGGACCCAGGAACTGTGCTCTTCGTCCCCCTGGATGCTGAGATGCAGGCCCAGCCTCCCGGGGGTTGAGGCATTGTCAGCTTGTGTGAGGACAGCCTATCCAGTTGCCATCTCCACAGAGGGTGGGACATGTGGGATTTAAGTCATGATAATCTTGATGACCTTTTAAATAGACGACCTTGCTTCTTTCATTCTTTTACGGCAGTCTGAAAAGTTGGAGTGCATCAGAATCAACTGAGGAGCTAATACAGCACACAGAGACCCAGACTCACTGGAGTGAGAGACTCTGGGCCTTTGTACTTTTACCGAGTTTCCTAGGTGGTTTTGATACCGGCCAGGGTTTGAGTTCCACTGTTCTACGGGTGGGAAGAACTGCCCCCTTTAATAGATTAGAGAGCGGGGGAAATGCTTTGCCTGAGGTTGTGTAATCTGGTGGAAATGAGCACAAGTCCTCCTTTGGGCTGGAAGTTGGAGACCCCAGAAACAATAATGAGAACCCCTCCCCAAATGGGAATGCATCACCCATCCTTGTTGCCCCAGGCAGCTCTTCATAGCCTGTGGCTGATTACTGTGACACTTCCGCCTGCTCAGGTAATAATAACTCCTGTACACCGAGTCTGCTCCATGAGCCTGCTCCAGACTAAGTGTGTTGCATAAGTAAATTGGGGTTTCCAGACCCAATTCCAATGTGTGTGGGGAGGCAGGTCCCCACCCACCAATGAACAATTCTCAGACACCAGCAGGGTGTCCGAGAATTCAGCTCTAGAGATAGCATCAGATTCCACAGGTCAAAGGTGTAGTCCTATAAGACTGTCTCCCTCCTGCCACACGTCAGGTGCCAACCGAAAGCCCAGGCTTTTTCCTGTGCTGCTGACCACACAGGCTATAGATCGGAGGTTCCACCAACCCCCTCAAATTCCAAATGCCAGTCACGAGTCCAGATTGTCACCTGTACTTCTGATAGACTGGTTACAAACCAGAGGTTCCTACAGTCCCCTCCTTGGGTTTGGTTAATTTGCTAGAACAGCTCAAAGAACTCTGCAGAAACATGTTACTTACTAGATCCCACTGGTTTATTGTAAAGACATATAACTCAGAAACACCCAGATGGAAGAGAAGCAGTAGTTGTATCCACCATCTGGCAGCTCTCGGAACCCCATCTTCTTGGGGTTCTATGGAGGTGTCATTACACAGTCATGATTGATTAAATCATAGCCCACTGGTGATTGATTCGACCTCCAGCACAACTCCCCCTTGCCCCCGGAGGTCAGGGGATGGTAATGAAAGTCCCATCCCTCTAATTACATGGTTGGTTCCATTGGTAACCAGTTCCCATCCTTAGGCGCTCCCCAAGTCACCTCAGCAACATAACAGAAGGTACCTTTATCACTTTCAACACTTAGGAAATTCCAAAGGTGTTAGGAGCTGGGAGTCAGGAATTGTAAATGAAAATCAAATATATATGAGAAACATATTCTGGTCATCTGAATGGCCAAATAATGTATTTCTTATAACTCACAATCTCACAATAAGGAAGGCACTGTGATGACACCTGTTTTACAGGTGAGTGTGGAGGAGAGGCTGCTCCATGGTGTGACTGTTGACTGACCTATTAGGTGGACCAGGGCCAGAGGAGGTTCATCACCGACCTCCCCTCGAGACTGTTTTGATCTTAATCAACGTGCTCGTTAGGCCACAAACCAGCACCCCTCCCCTGCCTCCAGGTATAGGCTGGGTCTGTAAACATTCCAGTTGTTCTGGCCTGGTCAAGCATGTAAAGCAATTTCCCATACCCAGTAGCACTCACATACTTGCACATATGAGCATTTCCCTGTCCGTGCCCTATGTAATTCTCTGGCTCCTGCTAAGTGATACAGGGATCCACTTCACCTTGCAGATGCCCAAGACACACCTCGTTTGTAAGGTTCTCTTAATAAACTCTACTAGGTATCAGACTGGAGTGGCCAGCCTCTTTCTTCAGTCTTTCCCTGCCCTCCATTTAGGGAAGTGGATTTTCAGTCTGGAGATCTTTCCCTGGGTCTGCGTGTTGTAACAGTTGGTGAACCAGCCAGGAGACCTATGAAATGGGTCTCGGGAAAGAGGCATCAGCAGGGAAATCCTGGGCTGGCCATCGACTTCTCTGTGGGGAGCGGTGGCTTGATGTTAGATGCATGTGGACCGCCGGGGGAGTACCGGGATGCTCTGAAGACACTGGCTGGTCTCATGCATTGAGGGCTTATGCATTGTATACTGTGGAAATGAAGAAAAGCACAGCGCTCCAGCTTGTGGGCTAGGTGGTCTTATGGGGGGGGGGGGTCAGCTGGCCTCGGACACCCAGCTAGAGGCAGAAGCCAGGGTTAGAGAACTGGAGGATGAATTAAAACTAAAAAAGGATGTAAGACTGTACCACTTGGCTAGCATCGGGACTCGCTGATAGTGTCGGGGAACAAGACACACTAGAAAGCCTGCCGTTTTGCCTAACTGGGTGGGCGCCTAAGGTCAGAGCACTTGAGACTAAGCCAGATTGGGCTGCAAAGCAATGGAACCCAGGGAAAAGTGAAGACGGTGAGAAAGCGGATACTGCAGTAATAATAGTAAGACAGCTGACACACCCTGTGCCATTTGACCTCTGATTTGGAGGGAAACAAAAGCACAGCAGCAGCAACTGCCTCCACAGGCGAGACAACCTTCCCGTGCAAGGAACTTTAATGATGAGGGACTACATAGCCGCCGAACTCAATGATAGATTTGCCAGATTTCAGCAAAAGGACACAGAAAGTATTCCCACTTGGCTAGTGTGGCTATGAGACACATGGGATGATGGTATTTCCCTGACTGGTCAGGAATCAGAGAAAATGAGTAATATTACATACCCTGCTCTCCAACAGCAGCTGCAGGATGCCCGAAGGATTTATGGCACTCACCCTCTCACAGACCGGATCATTCTATCAGGGAGGGAGAGTTGGCCAAATGAGGGGGATCTTCCCAGGCATTTGGGACTGTAAAAGTGAAATGCTCCATCTCTCTGACTCTATCTGAATTCTAGCCTGCATTTTTCCCATGGCCCTCGGGCTAATAGCTCCTGCTATAGATAGGCTAATCATTAGAGGAATTCTGCTTGAGGCTTGAGTTTTTGGAAGAACAGCCCCTTGCCAGAAGGTACCTCTCCAGACGAGGTGGGGAAATATGTACGAAAATTAT